CTCTCTCCCTCCCTCTTTCCCTCTCTCCCTCTCTCCCTCTCTCTCCCGGTGTGTCTCCTTCACTCCCCCCTGGCCTCCCACCTTCCCTCCCTCCCTCTTTCACTCCTTCCCTCCTGCCCTTCCCTCGATCCCTCTTTCCCTTCTTCCCTCTTTCCCTTCTTCCCTCTCTCCCTCTCTCCCTCCCTCCCTCCCTCCCTCTCTCCTTCCCTTCCCTCCTTCCCTCCTTCCCTCCTTGCCTTCCCTCCTTGCCTCCCTCCCTCCTTCCCTCCTTGCCTCCCTCCCTCCGTCCCTTCCTCCTTACCTCCCTCCCTCCTTCCCTTCCGTCCCTTCCTTCCTCCCTCTTTCCGTTCCTCCCTCCTTCTCCCCTCCCCTCCCTCCTTTCAATCCTTCCCTTCTTCCTTCCATCCCGTTATCCGTCCTTCCCGTCTTGGTCTTTCTCCCTCCTTCCCTCGCAATCGTCTTCCCTGCTTCGCTCTGTCCTTTCTTCCCTGCTTCCCTCCTGCCCTTCTTCCCTTCTTCCCTTCTTCCCTCCTTCCCTCCTTCCCTCGTGAGAGATGGTTAATGGAAGACCCAAATTCGGGGGTTTTCACCACATCACTACAAGCAATGTCGTCGAAAATTTTGCGAACAAACTATGCAGGCTCATAATACAAACATTAAAAAAAAAAAACAAGCAAAAAAAAACGGAAAAAAAAAAACTCAAGAGCACTATAAAACCGTATTCGACGTAGCTTTCGGAGTTCGGTGTTTTTGCCAACTTTTTCATTATTGGTCCAAATACGTCAAAACTGAATACAGATATACCCTGGAGCACATACATATCAGACAAAAGAAAAAAACAAGAAAAAACTTCAAAAAAGCAAAAATTGGGAAATATGGCAGTTTCAGTGAAAAATTCGCCGAAAATGACACCACCTATTAACCACGAGTGTCCCTCGCAGTTTTCTTCCATCCTTCGATCCCTCCTTTGTTCCACCCTTCTCTCACTCCCTTCTTCCCTTCCCCCCCTCTCCCTCCCCAGTGCCCTTTGTCCTCAACCTCTCCCTCCCTCATTCCCTCCTTTCCTCCTTTCTGTGGCATGCTCAGACCTACCACATGAGCCCTAGGGGCCCAACATAGGACCTAGGGACCCTGAGGCAGCACAACCCACATTTTGGGTGGCCTTAGGGCCATGGATATTCCTTTGGGCCTTTGGGTGGCTCATTCAGGCAGCATGGGATTTTGTTTGTATGTTCGTGTTTGGTTGCAGTTATTATATTTTTGACAATTTTTTTGAGTTGCGGGGTGTTTTTGTTTGTTCTGACTAGGACGGTATCGTTACTGAGTATTTTGTCTTTCTGAGAGCAGACATGTGAGTACTTTCTCTGTTCTCAGTTCTGTTCTATTCCGATTGGTGTACTTCAGATTTCTGCATATTGTGTTGATGTCTTTGCAGTCCTGGTCTAGATTTCATTTCAGGACTTGCATCAAAACAGGCACAGGACTGTCCTGTCCGTACCTCTGCCACATCCAATCGGGGAGAGAGAGAGAGAGAGAGAGAGAGAGAGAGAGAGAGAGAGAGAGAGAGAGAGAGAGAGAGAGAGAGAGATTCTTTTGCTGCTTCTTCTCTTCTTCTTCATCACCGCCCTCCACATCCTTCTCCTCTCGTCCTACTTCCAGAGAGAGAGAGAGAGCTCAGAGACTTGGCCACTATTCAGGGAGGCCTTGCCCCCGGGTTCAGACTTGACATTGACTGGTGACGATTGCGGGACTTGGGGAGAGACTACAATTTTCGGCTGTTACATTGGGTTGCACTCTCTTCTTCTTCTTCTTCCTACACTTCGTCTCCTCTCCCACGCCTCCATCATCTATGGTGTTTCTCCCTATGTGTCTGTATGCAAGGAGGGATCTTTCATCTGTGTATGCTCCCCTTCTTGCACATCTGCATGATGATGATGGACGCATGTGTTCAGTCGTGAGTCTGACGAGTTAGACTGTTGCCTTTCACCCTTCCGCTGCTTTGCATTGTTGTTTCTCCTCACTTTGGTGGTGATTCTTGGTCCTGCACCATGCCTA